GGAGCTTCATCGCCTCCATGGTCTCCATCATCCTCCTCCTGTCATGTGACTTCTGGACTGTCAAAGTAAGAAAGTTTCCTGCCATTTGTGTTATAAGAACTGAAAGAATTAATGAAGAGGAAAAAGAAAAGAATAGTTTCTCTGCTGCCCAAGTCTTCTGTTGGATAAGTGATGTCGAAGTGAACACGTTCTTGTGCAGCAGGTTTTATTGAATTAAACTGGAAACTGCTGTGGCTCCTCTTCTCTCCTCTGTTCTCCTCTGGTCCCTCCTCAGAACATCTCAGGCAGACTGATGGTGGGTCTGCGCTGGTGGAACCAGGTGGACGACGACGGAAGAAGTCACTGGGTTTTTGAGTCCAGGAAGGTCTGAAAAATAACATGCGTCACGGTGAAGACACACGATCTTCACTTCATCTGTGTTTGTTCCCACTTTTAAAATGTGCTGTTTTTTTACCCACAGCCTTCTGGGAAAAACCAACCCTCAGATTCCGAGTCTCGGATCTTCTGGTTGGGTCTGATCGTGTGCCCAGTTCTTTGGGTCATTTTCTTCTTCTACACACTTTTCTCCTTTAACATCAAATGGCTCGTACGTCTGACTTTAATATTAAAAAAAACTAGGAGAATACAGGCTGGTGGCAGTCCACCAGTCACAGTGACATATATATATATTTCATATATAATTTATTTCTTTTTATTGAAATACTTTTGATGAATTTACTGGTTTTACATGCGATAAAATTGTTAAACATAAAAAGAACTGTTTTTAAAAATTCAGTCAAACCTTTAAGATAAATTTATGTTTTTTTTGTTTTCTGCTCAGCCCATGGTGATTATGGGCGTGGTCTTACAGGGTGCCAACCTCTACGGATATGTTCGATGTAAAGTCGGAGGAAAAACCAACCTTAAAAATTTGGCCACTAATTATTTGGGTCGACAGTTTCTCAAACAGGTGATTTACTTTTTACAGATGACAAAAACATTTTTATTTATTTAATTTAATTTTAAATAACCCTAATGTATGTTTGTCTTTCAGACACTGTCTAAGGAAGACGAGTCGTAGAGTCATTTCTGGACTGTTTTGCAGCATGAACTCAAACCACAAAACCAGTTTTTATTTCCTTTTTTTAACATATACTAATTCATTCTTGTATAGTTTGTTTGTGTTTCCTCTAAAATTCCTCTTGTCTTTTTAACATTTCTGTAAAAATCTGTTTTGGTACAAACTGTGTTTGAATAAAGACATGAGTTTGATGTAGAAAAGATTGTGAATATAAATGTACAGAAACGGAAAAATACATTTGTAAAATGATTTTGTTTTTGTACAGAAATGTAAAATGTCATAATGTAAGTAAATAAAAAAGTATAAAAATAATTTCAAGCTGTGTTTTTGTTTTATTGAATTTTCCTTTGACTTTTTATCTCGTACAGTTCATAGATGTAAGAAGTTTGTGGATTCCATGTCAAATAAAGGTCAAAAACTCAAGATGGATGTTGAAGATGAACGTAAGGACGGAGTTGTGTCGTTTTAAATGTGGACGTGTTGATCATTTACGGTCTGCGACGTTTAAAACTCTTATACGTTTTTTGTTAAGTAGTTTTTTTATTAAAACCTTTTCTTCAAAATTAGGTAACCCTATATTAAGGGCGTTTGCGGTTTATTTTGAAAATTCGGACCGATCATTCTCACGTGACGTCAGATGCTAATGAACGTAGCTTCCCTGTTAGCTTAGCTTGAGCCTGTGAGCGTCGATGTTGTCGTTTCAAATGCTTTTACCAGTTGAACAGTTTAATTAATCTGTATTTGAATTAAACTACCATAACCTCCGGTGATGGGAATCTCGTCCAGGATGATTCCCACCGAGGACGCCTCCGCCCGGAAACGGGAGATAGAAGAGAAGCTGAAGCAGGTCAGAAACAGAGAGACGGACTGACAGGAAACCGGCAGATTTAGCTCGGATTTATTGACAACAGTCTCACATTATATTATTATATGTTGTCTGTGGTCTGTCCTGACAACCACGGTGTTTGTTTGTGTATGACGTCACAGGAACAAGAGACACTATCCTTCGTCAAGGAAAGCCTGGAGAAGAGTGATCAGCTGACCAAGGGCATGGTAGTAAACATCCAGATGTCGTCTGTTTAATGACGTCTTCACAAAAACACCTAATGTTAACCATAACTAGCCATTGTCTAACCACAATTTAACTTCCTGTAGGTTAGTTATAGTAAGAAATAAGTCGAATTATTATAGAGGTAAACATGATGACTGGGTCTTAACCACAATGAAAATTAAGTAGAAAAATGAGAAGAAGAAGAAGAAGAAGAGTGATTAGAGTTGGAATAGCATGGGGCCAGGGATAGATGATCATGACAGGTTTACTGACCCCTGCTGTTCAGCCACAGGTGTCTGATGTCTTCTGAGTCTTCTTCTTCTGCTGCTGATTTCTCCTCCCAGGTCTCCATCCTGTCGTCCTTTGAGAGTCGTCTGATGCAGCTGGAAAACTCCATCATCCCCGTCCACAAGCAGACGGAGAACCTGCAGCGGCTGCAGGAGAACGTGGACAAGACCCTGTCCTGTATGGACCATGTCATCAGCTACTACCATGTGGCCAAGGACACAGACAGGATCATCAGAGAGGGGTGAGGAGAGAGGGACAGGCTTTCCCTCCTGGTCCCTCGTGTCATGTGACCTGGTTAGCTCCAAGTCAGCTGACCTCATCTTTGTCTTTTTCTAGACCCACGGGCCGACTGGACGAGTATCTGTCTTGCATTGCCAAGATCCAGAAGGCGGTGGAGTATTTTCAGGACAACAACCCTGACAGTCCTGAGCTGAACACCGTGGTACAGAACTGATCCAGGACTCTGGTACAGACCCACACTGATCTCCTCTTCACTCTGACAGTGTCACACTCTGCTCTTGTCTTTTGGCAGAAAGCGCGTTTTGAGAAAGGTAAGGAGCTGCTGGAGGCGGAGTTTCGCAGCCTGCTGACGCGTTACAGCAAACCTGTTCCTCCAATCCTCATCCTGGACGCCATCACTGTGGACGAGGAGCTGGAGGTGCAGGAGGAGGTGGTGCTGGAACATCTACCTGAGGCCGTACTTCAGGACGTCATCTGCATCGCCGGCTGGCTGGTGGAGTACGGACGCAACCAGGGTGAGGAGGAAACTCCTGCAGGACATTTCTGTGATTGGTTAATTCTTAACGAGCCTTTCTGGACTAACGGATCATTCCAACACTTCCTGGCAGATTTTATGAACGTCTACTTCCAGATTCGCTCTAATCAGCTGGATCGATCCATCAAAGGTCTGAAGGATCACTTCCGTAAGAACAGCGCCTCCTCTGGGATCCTCTACTCACCGGCAGTCCAAACTAAACGCAAGGACACACCCACTAAGAAGGCTCCAAAGAGACCAGGTCAGCAGTGGCTCCGCCTCCTCTTCGTTTGTTTTTTTTGGCCTTTGTTCTATTGTTATGCTAACATTTATATTATTTTGCCAGTCAGGCAAATTTTAGCTCTGCTTCTAATGTGATCATCTTATATTAAACTAACTCAAATATTGGCAAAACCTTAGTGGCTTTAGCTGACTTTTAGCTTTTTAGGCATCCTTAATTATTGACTGGCCCAACATAACATTTGTTTGGATTCATCTCAACTATTTCTGGCCAACATTTCCAGGTCATTTTGGAACTAACTCTCTTTTAAACCCATTCACTTCAACTATTTTATCCAAAAACCTTTGACCAGAGTATCATCGAAGCTCTGTCGTTAGATTCCACGGTCATTTTGCCCCAGGGCCTGGACTGTTTTCCAGACTGATCCCAGATTAGTTCCAGATCTTCATACCACTGCTCTGCTCAACCTTCATTCCAGTTTTTATTATTTTATCATTGATGAGTTGACGCATCAACATCCAGGCACTTCTCTCATACTGACGATGCGTTCGCTGTCACTCATCTCACTAACGTGTGTGTTTGCTCCCTCTCTGATATTCCCTGTGTCCTGACCACAGTCTACATCCCAGGTAAACATCTCTGGTT